GGGCTACCATTTCTGACCTCTTCTGCTTCCTGTCATACTGATCCTCTGGCTTCAAGCAGGTGGATTGGGGGAGGGTCATTTTCTCTATAAAGGGAATCTCAGTTTGGGGGGGGGGTCAGGTGGTACAGGACACGCCCCCTCCTGTGATTGACACGCGGGGGGGAAGCAGAGGATGAATATGACGATGTCCCGTCTCTTCCAGCCATCGATTGGGTTCAGATTGACGCCAATTCCTCCGTCCTCCATGATGAGTTCATAGCGCACAGAGTGGGTAAGTCATGTGATGTCATTGCTGGTGACTCCGCCCACAGTGTCCTCCCAGAGTCATGTGATGTCATTGCTGGTGACTCCGCCCACAGTGTCCTCCCAGAGTCATGTGATGTAATTGATGGTGACTCCGCCCCAGTGTCCTCCCAGAGTCATGTGATGTCATCGATGGTGACTCCGCCCACCGTGTCCTCCCAGAGTCATGTGATGTCATTGATGGTGACTCCGCCCACCGTGTCCTCCCAGAGTCATGTGATGTCATCGATGGTGACTCCGCCCACAGTGTCCTCCCAGAGTCATGTGATGTCATTGCTGGTGACTCCGCCCACAGTGTCCTCCCAGAGTCATGTGATGTCATTGCTGGTGACTCCGCCCACAGTGTCCTCCCAGAGTCATGTGATGTCATTGCTGGTGACTCCGCCCACCGTGTCCTCCTAACTGTCTCCTCCCCTCCCCCGCAGGTCTCGTCCCCCTCACCAGTGACGACATTGTGGACAAGCTGCAGTATTCCCGGGTAATGGCTCCTTTCCTGCCGGTATTGCCCCAGCCGGGGTAGATGGGGGTTGAGATCCATGTTGCCCTGGGTGAGGGTAGTTCTGCTCATATGTTGCCCCAGTCGGGGTAGATGGGTGTCCTCAGTCCTGGATGGTGGTTGTTGTGATCAGACATTGCCTTGGGGGGGGTAGTTGTGGTCCTTGTTGCCCCGGGCGGGGTAATTACGATGCGGCTCTCCCCCCCAGGACTGTACGTGCGAGGAGTTCTGCGCGGAGTGCTCGGTGGAGTTCATGCTTGTTGCCCCGGGTGGGGGGGGGATGTGTGCTCCTTGTTGCCCC